AGGAGGACAGAGGCAGTGAGAGGGAGGGACAGTGAGGGAGGAGAAGCAGTGAGGGGGAGGGACAGTGAGGAGGACAGAGGCAGTGAGAGGGAGGGTCAGTGAGTGGGAGAGAGGCAGTGAAGTGTATACATTGTATTGAGTCATAAAGGTCACTTTCAGTATTTGAAACGTCTGTTGAAAAGCCTTGTCATGTTGCCATAGTTCATCTTATTGGTGATACACATTGTATCCAATTAGATAGGGTAAACCCACAGCTGAAGGCTAGAATTATAGAGGGAAAGGGCTCAAAATAATAATTGGTTATTGTCACGACTAGACATCCTTGAACACTTTACAGCCAATGCAAATCTTTGAAGTGTGGTACTGTTTAATATAGTAAACAGGGCGGCCAAAATGTACAAAATATGTTTCACAATCAATGATACCCAGATAATCTGATTAGAGATGCTGGTTGAGGTATGAATACAAAAGCAGGATACCAGGGAGAACACTTCCGTTACTGAAAAGGATGTTTTTGATGTTTAATATCGGCCAGAGAGGGCAGACAGGGCTTCAGTTTAATATTTCAACATGTTTAGGAAGCACAGTTCTGGAGGTGCAACACTGGACAAGGGTATTAGCTCAGACTGAGCTCTGCTCTGAGGATATGAGCCCATAGCTGTCTCACTCAGCGACAAAGCTGCTACCCTCTGAGTCATAACTGATTTATGGGCAAAATTCCAACCAAAGAATAAAAGAAGAGAAACAGACAGGCAAAAACTAGAAGAGAAAGTATAGTGAGAAAGTCAGAAAATGCAGTGGTTGAACGTTTTGCTGCAACGAGTATTAAAACTGCCATCTGGTGGTAAGATTTTGAACTGCGTCAAAAAAGCCTAAAATTCCACCTATACGTTCCTGGATGTAAGCATTGCTAGCTAGGCCAGAATTTATTACCATCCCTGATTGCACCAGAGGGCAGATAAGTGTCAATCACATTGCTGTGGGTCTTGAGTCTGGAGTCACATGTAGGGCAGTCCAGGGAAGGATGGTGGTTTCCTTCCCTTAAGGATATTTGTGATCCAGATAGGCTTTTCTGACAATCAACAATGGTTTCATGGTCACCATTAGATTCTACTTATTCATTGAATTCCAATTCAATCATCTGCAATGGCAGGATTTGAACCTGGGCTCCCAGAACATTACTAGGGTCTCTGGATTAATAGTCTTGCGATAATGTGGCTAGGCCATCACTACCCACCACCAACGCCACCCCCCTCCCCCCTGACACCGTCCCCTTAACATAGCCTTAGTCAGATACTGCGGTACCTCCTGTAGAAGGTGTTACCAATTATCGATGGTGAATGGAATGGATGTTGATGTTGGTCAATGTGGAACCAATCAAGAGGCTTTCTGTCCTGGATAGTATCAGGCTTGAATTTTGTTGGAGCTTCACTTATCCAGGCAAATAGGGAGTATTCCATTACACTGCTGACGTGTCTTGTAGATGGTGGACTGGCTTTGGGGAGTTGGGAGGTGAGTTACTCACTACGGGATTCCTAGCATCTGACCTGCTTTTGTAGCTAGATTATTTATATGGCTAGTCCAGTTCTGTTGTTCTGGTCAATGGTAACTCCAGGATGTTGAGAGTGGGTGATTCAGTGATGACAATGCCTCAACTATCAAGGACAATGTTTTGATTCTCTCTTGTTGGAAATGGTCGTTGTCTGACACTTATCTGACATGAATGTTACTTGCCACTTATCAACCCAACCTGGATATTGTCCAGATCTTGCTGCATATGGGCACAGACTGTTTCAGTACCTGAGGAGTCACAATTGGTGCTGAACATTGTGCAGTTGTCAGCAAATATCCCTACTTCTGACCCTAAGATGGGAGGAAAGTGATGGTACAGCTAAAGATGGTTGGGTCTAGGACATGTGTAAATCTTGCAGAGGTGTCCTGCAGCTGAGATGAATGACGTCCAACATTCATAACCATCTTCCTTTATGCTGGCTATGACTAGAAACATTGAGTTTCATTTGCTTGAGTTCCTTGGGAACATACTTAGTTAAAACTTCTTGACATCAAGGACAATCATTTTCCCACACCTCTAGAGTTCAGCCCTTGTTTTACCATTATAAGAACTAATGTTGTACCACTCAGATGGAAAGTGTGATTGAGCTGAAAAGTGGCAAGTAATGTTTGCGACACACACACACAAGTGCCAGACAAAGACCATATCACACAAGAGAGGGTCTAACCATCATGCTTTGATGTTCAATGCAATTACTACTGTTGAACCTCCACTATCAATGTCCTGGGGATTACCATTGACCAGAAACGGAACTGGATCAGCCTTATAAATACAGTAGCTATGAGAGGAGGGCAAAGCTAGAAAAACTATCTACGATCTACTGGGCACAAGCCAGGGTATTGATGGAATATATCTCAGTTGCCAGGATGAGGCTCCAACAATACTCAAAAAGATTGATCTCATCTAATGTACAAAATTGTAAGGTGCATAGCAAGGTTAGTAGGATGAAATTTTTTCCCCTTAGTAAAAGAATTAATAACCAGGAGACAAAGATTTAAGGGAAAAGGCAGCCATTTTCGAGGAAATTTCAGCCAGAGGGTGGTGAGTATCTGAAACTCGCTGCCTGAAAGGGTGGTAGAGGCAGGAACCATCATAAAATTTAAGAAGTACACAGATGATCATTTGAACCAGCATAGCACCATGGCAGGCCAAGTGCTTAAAAGTGAGATGAGAGTAGATAAGTTCTCATATACATGATGAACTGAATGGCCTCCTTCCATGCTGTAAAATTCTATGACTACAACTTTATAGCTATGACTATGACAATGCAGCCTGCCTGACTGGCACGACATCGACAAAAATTCATATCCTCTACCAGTGGCAGTAGTATGCACCACCTACATGATGTACTGCAGACATTTGCCAAAACTTCTTAGACAGCACTTTCCAAACCCACAACCATTACCATCTAGAAGGTCTTGGATAGCAGATTCATGGGAATTGTACACCTGCAATTTCCCCACCATACCACTCACAATCCTAATTAGAAAGTATATTGTCACTCTTTCAGTGTCGCTGGGAGAAAATCCGGCAATTTCCTTACTAATAACATTGTGGGAGTGCCTAAACAAGATGGACTGCAACCATTCAAGAAGGCTTCTCAAGGGCAACTAAGGATGTGCAATAAATGCTGGGTGAGCCAGTGATGCTCACATCCAATGCATAATAAAAATAATTAACTTTGATATTTCTAAGGTTGAAGTGGTACATTTTAGAAGAAAGAATAAATAGGTTAAGAACTTTTTAGAAGATAAGTGTGTAACTTGAGGAGAGGACTGAGGGATCGAGGATGCAGATAGAAAAATAATTTTTAAAAAGATATGCAGGTTGTTGAGGTTACAAAACTGCAAGTCAAGTGTTGTGTTCATTTCTAGAGGGATAGATTTGAAAAAAAACAAAAAAAAAACGAAAGACATTTACATGACCTTGTTTAGGCCACATGGTGTTGTGTATGGGTCTGAACTTCATTTTACAGATAAGTAATATGGAGACTGGGAAGATCAAAAGTATTTGCAAGGATGATATTAACAACTGGGAATTTCTGTCTGCCCGGGGAGATGGAACAATCCGGGGCACTTCTCACTAAAAAGAGGATGACCCTATAAAAATTCTTAAAAATATGAAAGGCTTTCATAAGGTAGAGAAGATGTTTTTGCTACGTGGAGTCTACCACTAGGAGCCACAGGTAAATTAATAAAGCCATTAATAATCCAATACAAAATGCAGAACAAACATCTTTCCTTTGAGAAATGGTTTGAATGTAGAAGTCAAACTGCTAGGAGTGGTTGAGGTAATTGGAGTGGATGCATTTAAGGGAAAGTGAGGTAAACACTTAAAGAACAAAGAAGCAAAAGGTTTTGTTGATAGGTTTGGTGAAAAGGCTGGACAGCATCTCATGAGATCAGAAGAAATTCAAGCAGGGAGAGGCCATTTCGCTGATCAAGCCTGGTCCACCATTCAATAAGATCGTCTGGTATGGCCTTAACTCCACTTTGCTCCCTATCCCCACAACCCTGCCTTCCTTACCAATCAGAATTGACCATATCCAGTGATCCAGTTTCCATTGCTTTCTGTGGAACAGGGCATCAAAAATTAACAAACTCCTGTGAGAAGACTTTTTCTTAATCTCCATTGTAAATGGGAGATTCTCCTACCCCCAGAGAGGAGCTATCTGTATAGCATCCACCCCACCAAGGCCACTCAGAATTTTATATGTTTCAACAACATTGTCTCTCATTCTTCTAAACTTCAATGTGCATAGGCCCAGCCTCAATTTTTCCTCATAAAATAAATGCCTTCAATCCAGGAATTAGGCAAGCGAACTTTCCCTGAACTGTTTCCAAAATAAGTGTATCTCTCCTTAGGTAAGGAGGTCAAAACTACACACAATATTCTAGATACATGTGATGCATAAACACTGACACTGACATTCTGAATCAAAATACTATGAGATCATTGAAACATAGAAAATAGGTGCAGGAGTAGGCTATTTGACCCTTCTAGCCCACACCACCATTCAATATGATCATGGCTGATCATGCAATTTCAGTATCCCACTCCTACTTCTTCTCCATGCCCTTATCCCTTTAGCTGCGTAGGCCACATCCAGCTCCCTCCTGAATATACCTAATCAACTTGCCCCAACAGCTTTCTGTGGGAGATAATTCCACAGGTTCACAGCTTTCTAAGTGAAGAAATTCTTCCTCATCTCAGTCCTGAATGGCTTACCCCTTATTCATAGACTGTGACCCCTAGTTCTGGACTTCCCAACAATGGGAACATTCTTTCCACTTCTAGTGTGTCCAGTCCCATCAGGATTTTAAATGTTTCTATGAGATCCCCCCTCATTCTTCTAAATTCCAGTGAGTACAAGCCCAGTCAATCTAGTGTTTCTTCATATGTCAATCCTGCCATCCCAGGAATCAGTCTGGCAAACCTTTGCTGGACTCCCTCAATAGCAAGAATATCTTTCCTCAGACTAGGAGACCAAAATTGCACACAATACTCAAGGTGTTGCCTCACCAAGGCCCTGTCTAATTGCAGCAAGACATTTTTCTGAAGAAGGGTCTCGACCCAAAACGTCAGCTTTCCTGCTCCTCTGATGCTGCTTGGCCTGCTGTGTTCATCCAGCTCTACACCTTGTTATAGCAAGACATTCCTACTCCTTTACTCAAATGAAAAGTGGCTTAGGTCCTATGTTACTGCTCTACTGTCAGAGTGACATTAGCATGCATGAATCCATATAATGAAAAGGAATACTCACCACGGCTCTTGTAAGTCTTAGCAACACCAAATGAGTCAGAAACCAATACAATGTATTACCAAATGGCCGGTGGAATTGTATCAAGCTAGTCAGGCCTTTCAATTTGCTGGTATGTAACATACTCAACTAGCATGAAAACAGATGGGCTCTGACATTTATGGCTCCTTCCAAACAGTATCACTCACAAAAGCACATACACCAGCCCATTTCTTTTCTGGCCTTTCCATGTGACATGGAGTTGCAACAATACTTGATCATCTTGGTCAGGACCATCATTCTGGATTTGGCCACTGGTTATACAGATTCATCTCCTACCCAATTTAGCTGGGGCTATGTACCATAGCATATCTGAGCAAAAAACCCTCCTGCTCCTTCCATGTTCAAAGTATTTACAATGCAACAATCAATAAAGCCATGTTACTACACACCATCCTTGGCCACTAAGACCTAGTGTGGGACTTGAATGCAGAGTTTCTAGCTCAGAGGAAGGGATACTACTTACTGGGCCACTAGAACCTTCTTCATGTTGAGTTAGTTAATAGTGAAGAAATGGTCTTAGATTACAGGAGAATATATACTCTGAGGGGCATGGATAGGGTGAACGGGAAGCAGCTGTACCTCTTAGTTGAAGGATCAATAACAAGGGGGCATATTTTCTTTCTATGAAGGGCGGGAGGTTTAGAGGGGATTTGAGGAAAGAATTTTCACCCAGAGAGTGGTGGGAATCTGGAATGCAGTTCAGGTGGGAAACCTCACAACCTTTAAAAGGTACTTGGATGAGTATTTGAGCTGTCATAAACATTCAGGGCTATGGGCCAAATGCTGGAAAGTGGAATTAGTATAATTAAGCGATGGGTTTTCTTTTGTTGGTGCAGACTTTATGGGCTGAAGGGGCTCTCTGTACTCTATGACTCGATGCTTTGGCATTAAATAAAAACAAAAAGAATACTAGAGAAACTCAGCAGGTCAGGTGGTATCTGTGAACAGAAAGAGTTTTCAGATCCATGACGTTTCGTTAATTGTGTGTGTCTTTCTTTCTCTCTGTTTACAGGTGCTGCCTGACTTGCTGGGCATTTTCAGCATTCACTGCTCTTATTTCAGATTCTCAACATCCTAAGTATTCTGCTCGTCGATGACTGTAACTCAATCGGGGTTGTCTTCTCTAGAGACAAAAGGAGAATATTTTACTTATTCCTTTGGAATTGTTCCAATTCTTTGGTATTTTTAATCAATCCATGGTAATGCTCTGTGTGTGTGTGTTGTCTGCAAGGATATATATTCATTCAGGAATACTTTGGCCCAGCACTTTGTAACCAGTGAGCTATCATGTGCCTGTTCCTGTTTCTGATACATCTCTTGGCTGTCCCTGGTTTGGGACAAAATGATTCACTCTGTAGACTTCGAGGTAGGTTTGATTTGCCTCGGCTATCAAAGGACGGGGACATTGTCATTGGCGGATCGTTCAACATTCACTATTATCGAGAGGAGCAATTTCTTGACTTCAGAAGCCCGCCAGGACCCCCGGAGTGCAAAAGGTCAGTTCACCCTTCCAAATAGGAACTTGTGTTTCTTTGTTCGTGTGTTGTACAGAATGGCTATTGAAGGACTGACTCTTGCACCGAGCTTAGCGTTAGCATCTTAATTTTTCGGTTTTGTTTAACAAATGCGGGGGATTTGGGAAGCTTAGAGATCCTTAGGTGGTAGAAGTGCTGCTGATTTGAGCTCTAGTGCACGATAACGGCCGCGGCTTACAGCGCCCTTGTGTACCTCCCTCCCCTAAACAACAAACTGGGTTTAGTCCGGGCCAATCGCTTCAGATGATAAAACTATTTTTTATATATGGTTTCATGGGATGTTAGCCTTGCTGATAAATTCAGCATTAATTGCCCATTCCTAATGGCCTTTGAGAAGGTGGTGGTGAGCTGCCTCCATTCAATCCATATGGTGTAAATATATCCACAGTGCTGCTAGGGAGGGAGTTTCGGGGTTTTAACCTGTTTTAGAAGCAGTATGGAGTTGGTTACAATATTGGCATGAAAGCAGACATGGGCAGACATGCAAACCAAATGGTATAACATTGCCCATCTGACAAAGAGTCTGCCTCCCATTCAGTTCCATTGAGTTAACTATAACCTAATACTGGGCAGCTCCAATAGTGGGGCACATGGGGCTTCACCTGTTTTCCAGACACATCCATGTCCGATTTCACACCCAACTGCACAACCAGATTCGTACTGAACAATGCTGCATGGTGTGATGTGGTTTGCTCATTTTCATACTATTTGATTTCTTGATCCATGGTCAGAAATTCATGGCAACTTTCAAAATGAAGGATACTTACTGCCTTTACTGGATGGTTTTAGCTCCCTCTTATTCTCATTAAAATGCTGACATTCAGATGAAATCAGAATATCCCAACTCATTATAAATAATATTCATTTTTGACAAGTGAAACTGTGCGGTAATCTCACCGGGGAGGAGGCAAAAAATAGGTCACTAGGTGAAGGAACACATTTATGAAAAGTATTTATGTACTTATTGCTAGCCAAGTCATACACAGATTTTATGCATTTGTAAATCACAGAAGTGTTACAGTGTAGAAGCAGGTCACTCAGCCTATTGTATTTACACCAGCTCTTCAAATGAGCAATAGAAACTTACAGTTAAATTGAGATTTTGGCATTGTTTCTTCTATTAAGCAAGTAAGTCATTAAAGGGAAATCTCTTTTGTTCACAAAACATTTTTTTTTGTCATCCCTTGAAAATTAGAGATAGCTGCAGCCCATGTTGTGAAATTACAAAGTGAATAGGACAAAGTTAGTGTGAATGCAGTGTGGCAAAATTCTAGTCAATAACATTGCTCACTAACCCCAGCAGTATCACCGAAAGGAGGAGAAAAGGCTCACAATATGCACTCAAAGAACATTGTATTTCTTTATTATCTTCATTGAAAACGCCGTACCATTTCAGTGCAAGTGCAGAAATGGCGAGGAACAAAGAAAGTTATTCCACTAGAGTTCGACTGGGCTCCCGTTTCACACTTGTTTTTCTTTAAGCTGAGTTTAATAGCCAATAACACAATCTAGTCCCAATGATTTATTTGTCTGTTTCGCCTCACAGTTTTGACTTGACACAGTTTCAGTTTGCCCAGACCATGATCTACACCATCGAGGAAATAAACAGGAACCAGACTCTGATACCGAATATTACACTGGGCTATCAGATTCACGATGGCTGCGGGGACCCAGCCATGTCGACCAAAGTCACCACCCTTCTCATCAGTGGACAGGAAGAAACCCTCGCTGACCCGAAGTGCAAAACAACCTCCAACACCCCGGCTATAGTTACAGATGCCGAATCCATGCAATCTGTTGCTGTTGCAAGAGTCATTACTCCCTTCAATGTCACAATGGTAGGAAATACCACAGCATCAGCACATTTCCCTGTACTCATGTCAGAAAAGATGTTCTTTTATGCATAAATTGTTGCTTGATTTCAAAGTTAGTTTACTTCCAATTTGAAATACTAAACAAACCAATTCACTGTATAAATATACGTGGGCATCCAAGAAAAAGGAATGGCGCTAGAAATTCTCAGCAAGTCTGGCAACAGGTGTGGAGAAATAAACAGAATTAACACTTCAGACTAATGGCCTTCCTTTACAGTATTCCTAATATTTTCTGTTTTAGCTTCAAATTTCCAGCATTCACAGTACTTTGCCTTTTTACATACACCTGACCTTCAGGGCTTTACTTCACATAGAATTACATGATGTATACAGAAACAGGCCTTTTAGTCCAAGCAATTCATCCTGACATTTATCCTTGCCTTCCTTCCTGAGCCTCCTTCAAACGTTCCTCTTTAAGCATAACTTCAATTTCCTTCTCTCTTGTAAGTTTATCCGATTTCCTCTTGAACACATCTACAAAATTAAAGTCATAGCGAAAATTTGTAGCTCAGGTTGTGAATGCAATTGTGCATTAGCTCACTGAGCCGGCTGTTCTGTGGTGTGCAGACGTTTTGTTACCTTTCTAGGCAACATCATCAGTGTGACCTATAATCGAAGTGTCAGTGTTCTGCTTCCTTCCAGATTTATATGCTCCTCTGGTGTGATGGTCTTGTCACTTGCAGTTTAGTTCTTTTAGCAGCGGTCTGTATACGGGGTCTATTTCTATGTGTTTGTTAATAGAGACCCGTATTGAGAAGCAGGCTTCCAGAAATTCCCTTGCATGTCTGATGTTCGCTTATCCCAGTATGGTCACTTTGTCCCAGTCACACTGATGGCTCTCGTTGTCTGTGAGTATTGAGACAAGTGAATATTGGTCGTGCCAGCTAGCAGTTAAAGGTCATGACTCCATTAACAAACACATCGAAATAGACCCCAAATACAGACAGCTGCTAAAACAACAGAACCAGAGAGGTATATGAAAGGGGTAGGTAATTGAGAGGATTATGGATGGCAGACAAGGACAGAAGAGAAACTGAATAAGTGACAATGAGAGCTGAGAGTTGCAGAGAATGGGTAGTCTTTGCTGAAAGCAACCCAAAAATATTTTCTCTCTGTCTGTTCTATTTAAACATTTCATAATATTAAAAACCTCGAATAGGCAATATCACAGCCTTGTCCTTTTGAAAAGTGACCCAGCCTGGTCGTGCTTTCCTGATAACTATAGCCTCAGAATCCTCCTCTCCTCTCCACTGTACCTCTATATTTTTAATATAATATGGTAACCATATTATGTAGTTATTTTGTCACTGTGCTTATCTTAAGAGTGCTAAGTTTTATATTATATTGATTTTCAGACAAAGGGTAATGAAAATCTACAACTCACTCCATCAATGTTTGTTCAAACTAGAGGTCAAGTGCAAATTTTAAAGCTAGATTGACAATGTTCTGTTGTTCTGAACTTTTTATTTCTCTACTTTTTCTAATTCTTTTCCCCTAAGAATTTGTACTTAAGAATATGTACCTAGATACATTTCTATCTAAGATGGCACCATAAATGGCAACTTGAAAACTTTTCACTATACTCATTTGAGTACGTGTGACAATAAAGCTAATTCTAATTCTAAATCTAATTCTAAAATATTTGATGGGCCAGGCTTAAAAATTCTGAAACTAAAAGGGTAGTTTGAGTTAAGATACTAATTAGCCATGATCTAATCGAATGGTTCAACAGATTTATGGGACAGGTCCATGATTCTATGGTTAATCTTTAGATTATTTTTTTCTCGTCGTTTGTGTCACTGATTGGGCAGTGCAAAGCATTTGGTGCTCATCCCTAGTTGACCTTGAATAGGTGGTACCACAAGGTGGTATTCTTGAACCACTGCAGTACTTATGGTGGAGATCCAACTACAATGTTGTTAGGAAATGAGTTCTAGGATTTTGACCTAGCGACACTGAAGGAACAATGGTATATTTCCAAATCAAGATGGTGTTTGGCTTAGAGGTCAACTTGCAGGTGGGAGTGTTCCCATGTACCTCTACCCTTGTCTTTCTTGAGGGTAGAGGTTGTGGGTTTGGAAGTTGCTGTCAGATGGGCTTTGATGAGTTGCTGCAGTGCACCTTGTAGACGCTGCTATCACTGTGCATTGGTGGTGAAGAGAATGAATGTTAATGGTGGCGGCTGGGGTACCAAAATCATCATATAACACATTTAAACATTGCCCAAAATATTATCAAATGAGCCTCTTAGAGTATAAATTGGATGAAACTCCAAAAACATAAGAAACAGCAGGAACAGGCTGTCCAATCACTCGAAATTGCTCTGCCAGCCAGTAAAATTTGGGTAATCTTTGATTTCCACTTTACTTTTACACAAGGATATTATTAAATTGGAAAGAGTGCAGAAAAGATTTACGAGGACATTACCAAGACTGAAAGGTTTGAGTTATAAGGAGAGGCTGGATAGGCAGGGACTTTTCTCCCTGGACCGTACGAGGTTGAAGGATGACCTTATAGAGGTTTATAAAATCATGAGGGGTATAGATAAGGTCAATAGCAAAGGTCTTTTCCCTAAGGTCAGGAAGTTCAAAACTAGAGGGCATAATCTTAAGGAAAGAGGGGAAAGATTTAAAAGGGAAATAAGGGGCAACTTTTTCACACAAATGGTAGTTCGTAATATTAGGCAGGACTTGGACAGTGTTGATTGGAAGCGGCTGTTTGAGGGTAAATCCACGTTGGACGTGTGGGAGTATTTCAAGGAGCGGTTGATAAGAGTTCAGGAACAGCATGTTCCTGCAAGAATGAAGGATAGGGAGGACAAGTTACGTGAACCTTGGATGACCAGGGATGTTATGACCTTGGTCAAAAAGAAAAAGGAAGCATATGAAAGGTCTAGGAGGATGGTACTGACAAAGCTCTTGAAGTATATAAGGAAAGTAGGAAAGAACTTTAGCAAGGAATTAGAAGGGCTAAAAAAGGTCATGAAAAGTTGTTAGCAAACAAGATTAAGGAGAATCCCATGGCTTTTTATACATATATAAAAAGCAAGAGGGTAGCCAGGGAAAGGGTTGGCCCACTCAAGCACAAAGGAGGAAATGTATGTGTGGAGTCTGAAGAGGTAGGTGAGGTCTTAAAGGAATACTTTGTATTCACCAAAGAGAAGGAATTGGTGGAGGATGATCTTAGGGAAGGGAGTGTCGAGTTTCTAAGCCAAGTTGCTTTAAAAAGGAAGAGGTGCTGTGCGTCTTAAAAAGTATTAAGATAGATAAGTCCCTGGGATCTGATGGGATTTATCCCAGTATATAGAGGGAGGCAAGAGAGCAAATTGCTGGAGCATTGACAGACATCTTTGTATCCTGTTTGGCCACAGGTGAGGTCCCAGAGGACTGGAGAATAGGTAATGTTATCACATTGTTTAAAACAGGGTAAGAGGGATAATCCTCATGTCAGTAGTAGGGAAATTATTGGAAAAGATTCTCAGGGACAAGATCTATAAGCATTTCGAAGCAAATGGACTGATTAGCAATAAAACTGCATGGTCTTGTGTGGAGCAGGTCATGCCTCACTAACTTGATCAAGTTTTTTGAGGATGTGATGGAAATTATTGACGAAGGAAAAACAGTTGACATTGTCTCATGGATTCAGTAAAGCCTTTGACAAGGTCCCTCATGGCAGACTGGTAAAAAAGGTGAAGTCACATGGTATCAGGGTGAGCTGGCAAGATGGATATAGAACTGGCTCAGTCATAAGAGACAGAGGGTAGCGGTGGAAGGATGCTTTTCGGAATTGAGATCTGTGACCAGTGGTGTTCCACAGGGATCAGTGCTGGGACCTCTGCTGTTCATGATCTACATAAGTAATTTGGAGGAAAATGTGGCTGGTCTAATTAGTAAGTTTGCGAACGATACAAAGATTGGTGGAGTTGCGGATAATAAGGAGGATTATCAGAGGATGCAGCAGGATATAGATCCGTTGGAGGCATGGGCAGAAAAATGGCAGATGGAGTTTAATCCAGACAAATGTGAGATGATGCCTTTTGGAAGGTCAAGTACAGGTGGCAATTATACAGTGAATGGCAGAACCCTTAGGAGTATTGATATGCAGAGGGATATGGGTGTGCAGGTCCACAGATCACTGAAGGTAGCAGCGCAGGTAGATAAAGTGGTAAAAAAAAAGGCCTATGGCAAGCTTTCCTTCATTTGAAGGGGTGTTGAGTGCAAGGATAGACAAGTTATGCTGCAGCTTTATAGAACTTTAATTAGGCTACACTTGGGATATTGCGAACTATTCTAGTCACCACACTATCAGAAGGACGTGGATGCTTTGGAAAGGGTACAGAAAAGGTTTACCAGCATGTTGCCTGGTATGGGGATTTTAGCTAAGAGGTACGTTTTTCATTCAAATGTGCTGAGTGCTGGAATGCACTGCCAGAGGAGGCAGTGGAAGCAGACACAAAGCAGCATTCAAGAAGGACCTGAAAGAATACATGAATAGGAAGGGAATAGAGAGATATGAATCCTGTAAGTGAAGACAATTTTAATATGTAAGGGCAAAACATGTCGACACAGGCTTGGAGGGCTGAAGGGCCTGTGCTGTATTGTTTTTTGTTCTTTTGTTCTTGTTCTTTGTCAGAGGAAGTGGTAAATACAAGTCCAGCTACAGCATTTAAAAGACATTTGGACAGGTATATGAGCAAGAAAGGTTCAGAGTGACACGGGCCAAACGTAGGCAAATGGGACTAATTTAGTTTGGGAAACCTGGCCGGCATGGACAAGTTGGACCAAAGGCTTTGTTTCTGTGTTGTCTGACTCTATGACCTTCTCCATATACTGAATGATACTCTTAGGAGCCAGAAGCATAACAATCTCAGAAGCATAAGAGGTAGGAGCAGGAGTAGAGCATTTGGCCTGTTGAACTGCTCTAACATTTATTATGATCAAGGCTGATCCTGAGCGCAATCTCCATTTTTCTGCCCAAACCCTGACCACGAATCCATTATCAATCATCAGAAAAACCCAACTGGTTCACCAGGAAAGAAAACTGCCATCCTTGGTCTGGCCTACATGTAACTCCAGACTCAGCAAAGTGTTCGACTCATAACTACCCTGTGGGCAATTAAGGACAGGTAATAAATGCAGGACTAGCCAGTGAAGCCCTCATCCTATGAATGAATAAAAGTATATTTGACTGTGGCCATGAAACTGTAATTAATTTGGAATCACTAATGCTAGTGTGGGGAAGAAATCGTAGAGTAATACAGCATGAAAACAGACCATTCGGTCCAACCAGTCCATGTTGACCATGTTCCCAAACTAAACTAGTCCCACCTGCCTGCGCTTGGCCCATTTACCTCAAAACCTTTCCTATTCACGAACTTATCAAAATGTCTTTTTAATGTTATAACTGTACCTGCATTCACCACTTTCTCTGGCAGTTCATTCTACACACGAACCACTCTCTGTACAAAAGAGTTGCCTCTTGTATGCTTTCCAAATCTTTCTCCTCTCACCTTAGAAATATACCCCTAGATTTGAACTCCCCCACCCAAGGGAAAAGACCCTTGTCAGTAACCTTGTCTATGCCCCTCATCATTTTATAAATCATAATAAGATTACCCCTCAACCTGTTATGCTTCAGCGAAAAAAGTCCCAGCCTCTCCAGTCCATTTTTTCTTATTTCAAACCCTCCATTCCTGACAACATCCTGGCAAATCTTTTCTGAACCCTCTCCAGTTTAAAAATATCATTCTTATAACAAGGTGACCAGAACAGTACACAGTGCTCCAGAAGAGGCCTCACCAATGTCCTGTACAACCTCAACATGACATTCCAATTCCAATACTCAAAGGTCTCAGTAAGAAGGCACATGTGCTAAATGCCTTCCTAACCACCCCATCTACCTTACCAGGACTGGCGAATATGTGCCTCGAGACCCACAGTGATGTAAACACTAAAGTAAATCAAAGAACTGAGGATGCTGAAAATCTGAAGCAAAAACTGAATCGCTGGAGGAACTCAGCAGGTCTGGCAGCATCTGTGGAAAGAAATCAGTGTTAACATTTTGAGTTCAATAACCCTTGTTCAGTTCTAAAGGACTGAGGGGGTCACAGGACTGGAAACATTAACTCTGCTTTCTTTCCACAGATGCTGCTACGTTTCTCCAGCAATTTCTGATTTTACCACAGCAATGTGGTGATTTCTTAGCTACTCACTCAAATGGCAAGCAAGACACTCAATTCATAGGCAGTAAGGGGTGGGCAACAAGTGTTGGCATTGGCAAAACCTTCTGTTAAAGAATAGCTCAAATACATTCAAGAATTAAGTAGAATTTCACTTATTGATTCACCAGCTGGTCCACATGTTTTTGGATAGGTTGGAATTGTTGAAAAGACAGTATTTATTTTCCTGAGAACATAATTAGCAATTCCAAATTCTAATGGCCACTTATCCTTTCAATTCCCTTAGTTCAGCTATTCTGCTGCTTATGATTATCTCAACAACATGTACGAATTCCCTACGTTTTTCCGAACCATCCCAAATGACTACCACCAAGTGGACGGTTTAGCTCAGCTTGTCAAATACTTTGGATGGAACTGGATCGGCACAATAAGGAGCAACTCCACCTATGGTGCCCTAGCAATGGACGAGATTATCAAAAGTATGGAGAGTTTTGGTATTTGTATTGCTTTCTCCGAAGCCGTTCACAAAACAGACTCGAAAGAGAAGCTACTGAATCTCATCAAAATCATCAAAGAGGCCACCACAAAGATCATAGTTGCCTTTGTCGCTCAGGCAGATATGGCAGTCCTTTTGCAAGAAGTTGTCCGGCAGAACGTGACGGGAATCCAGTGGATTGGGAGTGAGTCTTGGATCACGATGCCCGACATCTCTCCCAAAAAAGATGCGAGATTCCTGGTTGGCACGGTGGGTTTTGCTGTCCCGAAGGCCATACTACCGGGGCTAAAGGAATTTCTTCTTGAAGTTCACCCATCAAAATATCCAAGAAATGTATTTGTGACTGAGTTTTGGGAAACCACATTTGAATGTGTCTGGCAAAAACCAGATAACCTCACTCAGATTGACAGTGATTTTGAGGTCAAGTTCTGCACTGGAGATGAAAAGCTGGAAGAAGTGGATAATCAATACACCGATACATCACAGCTGAGAATTGCTTACAACGTATACAAAGCCGTGTATGCAATAGCACATTCCCTTAATAACATGCTGTCAAAAACAAATTTTACCTTTACACAACTTGACCTTTGGGAGGTACGAAGTTTCTAAGTTTCTTGGAAATCTGCTATTTCTGATTCTTTTGGAGACAATATGTACTTTACTCGCTGAATCTGTTTAATTCATTTATAGATAAGGTAATAATTTTGTAGATACAAAGGTTAAATCACTTCTGAACACTGTTTGTAGAAGAGTTTATGAGTTTCATCAATATTGTCTGTGATGTGTGAAATTTCAGAGATAGATTTAACCAGAATAAATCTACCATTTGAGCAGAAAAACCATAAAATAGAATTTGTTTTCAAAAATAGAAGTACATTGTCATGATCTGATTTCTAATTTTCTGAAAATGTTGTCTACATTTTGATTGGAGAGAAGATTGTAAAATAATTTCTAATTTTGATTTAATGGTACACAATCAATTGAGTTTTAAAATATCATCTCACCACCGATTTATAATTTCTCTTTTCTTGTCCTTTTACTCTAGCTGCTTCATTATATGTATGCTGTGAACTTTACAGCGCGGAATGGAGAAAGTATATACTTCGACCCAAACTTAGATACAGTCCCATTGTATGAATTGGTAAATTGGCAGATGAATTCTGAAGGTGTCGCTCATGTAGTGACAGTTGGGCATTATGATGGACTTGTAGCTTTTGACAAAAGGCTTTATTTAAACAAAGAAAATATTGTTTGGATAATTGGGAAAAAGGAGGTAAGTTCATCTTTGAAATATGTTTATTTCCGATTGTACATCATGGTCTTGAAATGACATTGTAGTTGTCCTACACTATCATCACATTATGGGTTCATTGAAAATCCTTCCTTTACTGACATAATAGACTCATAAACACTGGATGGACACAGAAGACCACACTAAAGGAAAGGGCAGTTAATGTGTAAATCATTACCTCCAAATTCCTTTCAAAGTATCACAATACATTATTGCTATTTCGAAGTCCTGGAACTCCCTACTTAATGGTGCTTTGGGTGTGCCATTGCTGCAGTTTGTATTATCCTTTCATGGAAAAGTGATGTTTGGCAATGTCATCATTTATTACCGATCCCTAATTGTCTGAGAACTGATTGTTTTACCATTTCCAAGAGCAGTTAAGACTCAACCACACAACTGTGGATCCAGAGTCACATCTGAACCAGCCTGAGTAAGGATGGGTGATTTCCTTCCCTAGAGGATGTTAACGAACTGGATGGTTTTTTTTTAATGATAATCAACAGTAGGTTTGTGGTCACCATTACTAAGACTGGCTTTCAATTCTACCAGCTACCATGGAGGAATTGGAACCCACACCCCAAATCATTAGTCTATGCCCCTGGATTATTAATTCAGTGACAATGCCACTATACCAACACCTCCCCAAGTGCCATAGGTTTTATTTCAGTGAATCAAGTAGAAGGAATGGACGATAAATGCTTGTCTTAGTGGAAACACTTATATTCAGAAAATTAATTTGAATACACTTTTAAAGTAGTTACATATTGTAAGAGATAAATAGCAAAAACTGTTTTCCCTTGTTAAGGAGTCATTGAGGAGAAGTCACGAAGTTAAAACTGACTGAAACAGTAATTAGAGTTTCAAAAGATTTCTTTTTATGCTAATAACTGAAAGAGTATCCAATATTTTACTGCAGAAAATGTTGCTGTAGAGACCATTGATTCTGTGAAAAAAGTATTAGTTAATCATATGATCCCTAAAGTGTAGAAGCAGGCCATTCAGCCCATCGAGACCACACCAACCCTCTGAAGAATATCCCACCCAGACCCACGCCGCTACCTGACCCCTGCATTTCCCATGGCTAACCTGCCTCGCCTGCACACTATGGACAATTTGGCACGGCAAAACCACCTAACCTGCACATTGGACTGTGGGAGGAAACCAGAGCATCCAGAGGAAACCCACGCAAACACAGGGAGAATGTGCAAACTCCACACAAACCATCACACAAGACTGGTATCAAACCCAGATCTGTAGTGCTGTGACGCAGCAGTGCTAACCACTGAGCCACCACAGTTTACAAACCACAGTTTGTAAACTGTTTATTCAAATTTAATCTGTTTAATTGCAACCGGGGATTTTCTTAATTGATAATTATATTAAATGAAGCCTAAATATATCAAAGACATGCCTTATTTTGGTCACTTGTTCTAACACAACCAGGCACAAGATTACAGAATCTCGTGACCTTAAGTGACATCCTCTTTTAAAGGTCACTGGATTGAACAAAATACCCTTTCTTTATCCAAGGTTCCTCGGGGAGTTTGTTCTGACAGCTGTCTTCCTGGCACTTGGAAAACCGTCAAAAAAGAAATGCCCTTGTGTTGTTTTACCTGTATACCGTGCTCTGATGGTGAGATCAGCAATGTGACAGGTATTTATCAATATAGAACTATATAACAGGACAGAAAGAGGCCATTGTATCCATTCTCACTTTGACATCTCTTTGAAAGTTAGTCACACTCCCTCGTTCTTTCCATGTAGCTCTGCAAATTTTCCTCTTCCAACAAAATGATCCAATTCCCTTCTGAGAATTACTATTGAATCTGTTTCTACCACTCTTTCATTCACTGCATTTCAGATCATTTCAGAAGTCAATGCATGAACGGAACTCTCCTTGTCTCCCCACCCTCGTGCACCACCCTGTACTTTTGCCATTTATATTAATATTGCATCATATAGTTACCAACCCCTCTGCCACAGGAGACAACTTCTCCACACCCAATCCCTGAGAATCCCTCATAATGTTGTTTATCTCTATTGAATTCCACTTTGACCTTCTTTGCCCTCAGTGAACTAAGTCCAAAGCCTCCATACAGCTGTATTTCCCTTGTTCCTTTGCCAATCTGGTAAATATCTTCACCAGGGTGTCTCTGTGTGCCCTTGAAGGTGTGAGCTGACAGTGGGTTAAGCAGTTGGACAGATTCCATCAAGTCAAGAAGTCATAACGAAGCAGAGAGACTATATGCTGCCTCCTCTGCGGAGTAATTTATCAGCCCCATTCCCCTGCTTGACCCCTATGGGCCTGTAAGTTTATTCCCACCAATAGCTTGTTCATTTACCTTTTGAAATCATTTCTCAATTCTCCTTTCACTATCTTCACAGACAGGGAATTCCAAGTTAATTTCACTTGCTGCCTAAAAATTGTTCCTTCTCACATCCCCCACCCTGCATCTCTGACCTCAAGCCTGCCCCACCATTCAATAAGATCACGACAGAAGGCCCAGATCTTTACTTTTCATTTGTGCCAATTCCTCATAGCCGTAAATGCTCTGATATTTCAGAAATCTATCCACCTCCACTTTAAATACTTTCAGTGATCTAGCCTCCTAAACTCTGGGGATGGAGAATTCCACACTTTCGCTACTCTGAGAGAATAAATTCCTTGCTTGAGTTTCCCCCTATTGTGTAACAGTGCCTCCTTGATTGAGATTCCCTCATTAGTGAAAACATCTTCTTAACGTCAACCCTATCAAGTCCCCAGTAAGAACAGCTTTTTCCTGTCTGCCATATCTAAAACTCTCATAATCTTGGAAACTTTTGTCACATCTCCCCTCATTTTCCTCTACTTCAGGGAGAACAACCCTAGCTTTCCCAACCTAACCTGGTAGTTAAATCCCTTATCCCTGGAATCATTCCGGTAAACCTTCCCAGTACCTTCTAAAAGGCAAGATATAAAAACGCAGGATGAGAGTGTGCACTGGAAAATGAACACCCCTCCAATTCAAAGTACAAAGCATTGGCTCTTGCTGCCTTACACTTAAGACAGAACATGGGGAACTGGTGGTAACTCCCGTGTGGCTAAACAATACTTGAAACTGAATCAGAGCTTTGTAAAGGTTTTGCACAACTTCACTTGTGCTTTCCTATTAATACATGGCTGACAGTGAGGATGACGACATTGATTACAACAGTACATACATTGGTTTCGAATGGACAGACAAGTGGCAATTGAATTGTGAAGTGATGCATTTTAGCAGAAGGGATGGAGAGAGGCAACACAGACTAAATGATGCACTTCTAAAGAGTGTGCAGGGACAGATGGATTTATTAAACATTTAGCCACACTGGAGTTACCACCAATCCCCCATGTCATGTCTTAAATGTAAGGCAGCAAGAACCAATGCTTTGTACTTAGATTTGGAGGGTTGCTCATTTTCCAGTGCACTCTCTTATCCTGCACGTTCATTTCTTGCTCAAACATGTGAAAGTGTTGCCACCGTTTAATTTCACAATATGTAAAAATACAGTTATTGTAGAAAAATCTGTTTAATCGTGCAACTTTCATACAGACAAATACAACTACCAAGGGTGGGACGGGGTGGATGTCAAAGGAATTTTTATAACACAGGACGAGGAGCTCAGTAGCAAATAAGGTTGAAAATTCTTGCATTAAATCACTGTACAAATGAAACTTTGCCCTATTTCCCTTTCTAATTCAGGAACACAGAGGCTAATTGAAACACTTTTCTTTGGGCTCTCTCCACTTCAATCAGCAAACTCAGCACAATCTAGAGATCTTGCTGCACAGGATCGTAGTGTTATTTATTGGATGGATGAGGTATTTTAACTATGATGTCAGGTTGGAGACACTGTAGTTGTGCTTTGAAGCAAAGGAGATCGAGTGTACAAGACTTGGACAGGTTTAGACAAGGTAGACAAGGCAAAGCTGTTTCCATTAGCTGAAGATGCAAGGAGTAGGGGACAAAGATTGAAGGTTTCAAACAGGAGATTCTGGTGCAAATGTGAGAAAAGTAGCTCAGGCATTGAAGGAACCTGACACATTGCCCTTTAATGGCTGTAAGTATTGATCTACATGAAATACTAACAATGTGTCATATTGCTTTCTTGTAGACTCAGTATCTTGCTTAAAATGTCCACCAGAATACTGGTCCAATCAGTTCAAAACCCAGTGTGTACCAAAGAAGATTGAATTCCTTTCTTTCAACGATGAGATGGGAAGTTCACTTATGACCCTGGCAGTGATTGGAGCCTGTTTGACAGTGGCTACAGCTATCATCTTTTATAAGCACAGACAGACACCTCTTGTCAAAGCCAATAATTCTGAGTTGAGCTTCCTTCTTCTATTTGCCCTAACACTTTGCTTCCTCTGTTCTTTGGCCTTTATTGACCGGCCCTCTGTATGGTCATGCATGTTGCGCCACACTGTGTTCAGTATTACTTTTGTTCTTTGTCTCTCTTGTATTTTGGGGAAAACACTGGTTGTGTTGATGGCTTTCAAAACCAGACTTCCCAACAATAAAAAAATCCAATGGTTTAGTCCAATGCATCAAAGACTGAACGTTTGTGCCCTCACATCTGTCCAAACTATAATTTGTATTATCTGGCTAACCACTTCGCCTCCTTTCCCTGTGAACAGCACAAAGTACTACAAGACTATAATTATACTCGAATGTAATGTTGGGTCCTTGGTGTATTTCTGTTGTGTGTTTGGTTACATTGGTGCTTTGGCATGTGTGTGCTGTGCACTCGCATTTTTAGCCAGAAAACTGCCAGACAATTTCAACGAGGCAACTTTTATAACCTTCAGCATGCTTATATTTTGTGCAGTGTGGATAACATTTATCCCAGCGTACGTCAGCTCACCCGGAAAGTACACAGTAGCAGTAGAAGTTTTTGCCATTCTAGCATCAAGCTTTGGTCTGCTGTTCTGCATTTTTGCTCCCAAATGTTATATCATCTTATTTCAACCGGAAAAAAACACAAAGAAATATTTAATGCGTAGATCACATGCAAAAAAAATTTGAATTGTCTCCAAAACTGGGACTATGTGAGAAATGTCCAAAGCATCCTAATTAAATGGTTGCAGCTTTTGCAATGCAGATAAGTATCAACTTAAATTGGACTTGAACTTTTAAAAAATGTACTTTAGTAAGTGATTATGCAATCTCATGTCCGAAATTAAAATATTATTCAGTGACCTTTCCGTTTGGCAACACATGTAACATCTGCATCAATGTCAAAATGCATAGTGTTCTGTCTATTATTGTTAACTAAAATTCATCTTCTACATTTGGCATTTATAACATTAATAATAAACTTGTGAAATGCACTGAGATTTTACATTGCATTTATTCCAAAATGTCTGGTGTTGTAAATTGGAGCAGATCTCTCGTGACTTTTTTGACAGTGATTCTAAAGAGAACAAACCTCAGATATCGTTTTCAAGAGCAATGAGAGGAAACTTCATGGCTATATATCACAGTTCGAACTTATAGAGGAAACAGTCGCAATGTGTTTATGATCAATTAGAGATTAAAAGGCAACGATGCCATAGTTTTACCAGACCATAGACTTGCTTTGTCACCAGAGAGAGACAGCTGGTGGTGGTTTAACCTGAGGATCATCATGTGTCAGATGAGGGGAGTGATTGAGGAGGAAAGTACTTCATGGTAACCTCAGCCAAAGTGGGAATTGAATTTAGACCAAGTCAACAGATACATAATGGACCAGAGAAAATTCACTTGCTGTTTAACTTGCTGTTAATAAATAGAGACACGGCAAACAGAAATATAGGGCTAAATGTTCCCAAAATTGGTTAAGTGTCAATTTTGGGTTATTTCATAGAGGGTTTCTGAGTGACTTTTCTCACATAATTTTATGCAGTTCTCATTAAGTATGCATTCTGGATCCACAGCACTGTTGTTGCTGTATCTTGTTGTTGGTAATGGTGACAAGATTGACAGTGCCAGGATCTTCACACTGCAGACACCATATTTTAAACCCCAGCCACACACTATCACAACACTAACAGCCTGGTCTGAAGTGGGCCACAAGTGGGTTAGTGACCTTCTGCGCTCTCCATAAGTGCGTGCCACCATCTTCTCTCTGCTCCTTACACTCACTCTAACTTTGCTTCTCGTCTATCACTCTCAGCTTCCCTGAATGGCTGTTATCTATCTCATTCCCCCCAAATCACTAAGCCCCCCTGCCCTCTGCATTTCCTACTCACTCCCTGGGGCACCTCACAGCCTTTCCTGACTGCTGAGGAATAGATCCCTGAGAGACCGTAGCCCCCAACCCACCAACTGTTCATTGCTGCCAAACTTGACAAGCTGCCAAACTATCTGACTGCACTAAAAGAGAATGAAAGGAAAGGCAGAGATGCCAAGTAAGCACACAGTGAGTGCATGTTAGGAAATCAAGCTAGGACCCCTGTGGTGAAAATTATTCCAGCACATAAGATGGGCATCTATCCCTATGCATTACGTAATCTGGCGGCAGCATTGCAATGTAAAGCATTGGTGACCTCCAATGTGCAGTACTGAAGTGCTGAACTGTATTATAAATTAATTCCAAGGGTGCCGTGATGATATTGTGAGGCTGGTGCTTTGCTGATGCCAACCTCTGTGGACAGAAGGTGCAGGCAGTCATTGCCTACAGAGCATGGTCTGAGATGTTGGGGGATGCCATCCAAGATAATCCAGAGAAGATGCCAGCGAGCTGCAACTGCCATTTACTTGCTCAGATTTTCATGTTGCAAATTGTCACCATCTCATTTCTCTCTACTACTTATGAAAATAGCAAATTGCATCTAAATAAGGCAACCTTGGGTCACAATTAATTCATTTAAAAAGGTCACTTGCTGCTCACTAGCGAGATTCTCATCTAGCCATTAAAATCTTGGATAGAAAATCAGACCTTTTTTTATCATGATATTGAAGATCACATTTTTCTGTTGTTGCCATATTGTCCTCACTAACTCACCATTGCCATGTCATTCAGAGAAGGGGAGAATTCAGCACATAATAACAGTAGCCCTTCCAACCTATGCAATTACATAATCATAATGCGCTGCAACTTCATTTTGTTGCATTTGCCATATACCCCTCGATGTCCTTACTCATAAAACAAAATCTACTCATCTCAATCTTGAGAGCACCAATTGCCCCAGCAATCACAGCCTTTTGGAGCTGAAATTTTCAGATCTCCATCTTTTATGCTATTTCCACTATTCTCAATTTCCCTCTTGAGTGGCATAATTTGAATGTAAGATCTAGAATTAGCTAACATCAAGTTACGGCCATAGAGATGTACAGCATGGAAAAAGTCCCTTCAGTCCAATTTGTCCAAGCTGACCGGATATTCAAAACGAATCTAGTCCCATTTGCCAGCATTTGGTCCAATTCCCTCTAAACCCTTCATATTCATAAACCCATCCAGATGCCTTTTAAATGTTGTAATTGTATCAGCCTCCACCACTTCCTCTGGCAGCTAATTCCATACACATACCACCCGCTGCGTGAAAAAGTTGCCCCATAGGTCCCTTTTATATCTTTTCCCTCTCACCTTAAACCTATGACCTCTAGTTTTGGATTCCCCCACCCCAGGGAAAAGGCCTTGCCTATTTACCCTATCCACGACCCTCATGATTTTATAAACCTCTATTAGGTCATCCTGTCAGCCTCTGATACTCCATGGAAACCAGCCCCAGCCTATTCAGCCTCTCCCTATAGCTCAAACACTCTAACCCTGGAAACGTCCTCGTAAATCTTTTCTGAACCCTTTCTAGTTTCACAACATCATTCCTATAGCATGGAGACCAGAATTGCATGCAATACTCCAAAAGTGGCCGAACCAATGTCCTGTACAGCTGCAACATGACCTCCGAACTCATTTACTCATGCACTGACCAATAAAGGCAAGCATACCAAACGCCTTCTTCACTATCCTGTCTACCTGCATCTCCACTTTCAAGGAACTATGAACCTGCACTGCAAGGTCTCTTTTGCAGCAACACTCCCCAGGACCTTACCATTAAGTGTAAAAGTCCTGCCTTTGTTTACCTTTCCAAAATGCAGCACTTCACATTTAAATTAAACTCCATCTGTCACTCCTCAGCCCATTGGCCCATCTGATCAAGATGCCATTGTACTCTTAGGTAACCTTCTTCGCTGTCCACTACACCTCCAATGTTAGTGTCATTTGCAAACTTACTAGCCATACCTTCTATGTTCACATCCAAATGGGAAAAAAGTGACTTAGTGAGAGAAACAGAAAAGATTTGAATTGGAAGAAAAAGAGAAGTAAAGAGAAATGGAAACAGAAAAGGCAGGGGATTAGAACTTAAAAATCCAAAGAGGTAGAGAAATCAGATAGCAAGACTTGAACAGAGAAAAGCTTAGAGTAAAGAAAGAAAAAAGAAGCATATCTGAAGGTAATTCTGATTCAAATGAGGAATTTCATTTAACCACAAATCTGTGCTTTATGTATATATATTCAAAACATTGAGTCAAAAGATATTTCATCTGATTTGAAAAGATTGATGGCCAGATGAAGAGGCTGAAAGAAGTTTGGACCTTAATTTTGCAGTCTTTTGACAGTTGCAGCTATGAATGTGTGTGCCAGTTTGTCAAAAGAATAATCCACAAACTATAAAACTATTAAAACAGCAATACATAATGTTTATGAGCTAGCCCCCGAAGATTGTCAATTAAATTGTGGGGCAGCAAGAAAGAAATCAGACATTTGAGAACTCTGTGAGAAAAAAGAATACTGTTGAATCTGTGATTTAATCATTGAAGTCAGAGAATAATTTTGAGAATATAAGGCAATCATAATTAATGAAGGATTCTGAAGGAGCATTGCTGCAAACCTTAGAACTGATTTTAATGAGTGTCAAGTATCAAAGATCTGAGAAGCAGCAGTTCTGGCAGATGCACATTTTATTTCACACTAACAGTTGTATGCGGAGAGGTGGCCATATGGGAATCCACAAGGAAATTGGAGAAACAGAAGGTCTGCAAATGGAAAAGTATTAGTTTCAGCAGACAAGCAGAAGGACATCAAAGTAAATTGGGAAAAAGTCTAGAACCCAGAAGTGAATAATAGAAATAACGGGCTTCCATTGTAATAAGTCTGGACAAACAAAGCCAATTGCTACAAGTTACAGGGGAGACCAATTACCGTAGTAGGAATGCCTCAGCAATCCACAGAAAAGGACACATTAGGAAAGGAAGTAGGTATTAAACCTGGAATAATAGTCCAATAAGAACATGATCCCCGAAATCTACTCAGCAGGGAGAGATGACTCAGGACAGTGGAAAAAATTCTCCTTCAATTATTGATAAAGACAATCAGATCATGAAAGGTTTTAAATATTTTAATTTAAAAAGAACAATATTTCCTTACACTTAAATGGAATGCAGTGGTACAATGGTTATGTCACTGGACTAGAAACCTACACACCTGGCGAGTGTTGTCGGGACATAAGCTTGAACCTCACCAGGGCATATGTTGAAATTTGAATCAAGTACTAGTATAGTAACCCACTGTCAATTGTGATAAAATATCATTTGTTTCAGTATTGTCTTTCAGGGGAGGAAATCTTCCATCTTTACCTGGTCTGGCCTACATGTGTCTCCAGACCCACATCAATGTGGTTGACTCTTATTGCCCTCTGGACAATTAATCTGGGCAATAAATTCTCGCCCAGCCAGCAATGCCCAAATCCTATAAACGAGAGAACAAAACCAAGGACGTAAACCAATAAAGTTATTCAGTGACAATGGAGCAAGTCAGTCACTGATGCTGGCTGATGATACAATTAATGAAGAAGAAGCTATTATTTGGAGGTGTACACTGAAGTTACAAGCTGGTCCCACTGTATAGAGTTGAATTAAAGAGTGACTTAGTAAATGATAAATCTTAACTGCTCTTTCTTTACCAACTCACCAATCTGAGAGAGCAAAAATTCCTCCTGCCCTCCATTTCAATTGTAAAATCCCTTACTCTGAAATCCCTTACA